AAGAAGAGAGAAGGATGAGTGATTAAAAGCAAACCAGTACCTGCATTGCTGCTTTTGGAGGATGTAATTTCACAAATATGTGCCTTGCCTGAGGAGTCAGCATCCTAATAAGAGGCTAGGTCAGCTCACTTGGGAGGCAGAGCAGCAGTTAAACCTCCCACTGGCTAGATCCTATGGGCTGTTTTCCACACATTGCAAGTTTTGTTCCAAATCCTTGCAGGTCAGTAGGCTTCTGAACTCTAGCAGAGCTCCCCTCAAAGAACACTGTTCAAAATAATCCCCTTTGTGAGGCTGCACCAGTGCAAGCCACTGGGCTCTCCCCGTGTGAGATGAGGTGAGAGGATAAAGAAATCTGAAGGAAGTTTTAAATTAATAAAGCTACCTAATCCCCATTCCAAATAATTCCTTAGGAAGCTTACATTAATATAAATTTCATATAATCTCATGGATTGTCCAGGATGCTATCTGCCATCCCAGTATTAGTCCTCAACAGATCATCACTGCAGATGCAGGCATTTCACAAGGAATGAAGGTTTGAAGTTGCACATGCACATTATGGCTGGGTATAAATAATGGCGTAGATATTGTTAGAGAATGATCAAGTCCCTTTACTAAAGCTATTTAACGATGAATATTTAAGATGAAATTGCAACATAATTTCTAGCCACCCGAGCATTATGTTTGCCAAATGCTCTCCTGTTAGCTCTGGCAGCCAAGCTGTTGGCACCAGATTAGACTTTGACAAAGCTCCGAAGGTGGTGTATGATTTAGGGCACCTAAATCTACATGAGATGAGTGAAGGCCAGCTGAGGATGGGACACAAAAAGGACAAGTTTTATTATATATTTACTTCAGCTTTACCTTTTCTAGTTTGGATTTCTGTTGCCAACTTCTACATGGTGAAAGGGTATGAAAAACAACATTGCCAACTTGGCAAGAAATTATCAAACCGTAAAATTCTTTTGGTTCGTAAAAGAATTTCTATTGCCTTTTGAAAAGATTGGGCTGGTAATAGGACATATAGGGGAAGCCTCCTGATGAGGCTTTGGAGAGCTGTTTGTATTCATTCAACAAGCAGAGCCAAAAGCCTGTAGCTCTGTCTGCCTGTACTTGTATTCCTGTCCTGCTGTTGCATGTCTATAGCATTTGTCACATCTGCTCCTGCTTCTTTGCACATGCTCACTTATAATGCACTGAGTCTGGTCACCTTCAGCTCTCACAGAAAATTAAGGGTTTGTCTCTACTGAATTTGAATTGTAATTCAAATTTGAATTGTTTGCCTTTGCCATGTGTTGAGTATACATGTAACACCAGAGCCACTTTTTCTCAGAGCAGTAAAACTGATATCCATTGTGCCAGCTTTTCAAAAATAGCTTAGCAGTTGTTGGAAACAGCATATAGTAAGTATCTCTAATTCAGATGCCAAGTTTCATATTACCAAGTGTCTCTCAGTTAACTTCTGAAAAACCATGTTAATTTTCAAATTCATCTGACTCTTACTGAAATGTCTAGACTCTGCAGAAACTCTTCTTATGCAGAAATGCTGTTTCAGCCTTGCCTTGTCTCTAGGCAAATGTGTATTTGCTTACTGAACGTCGATGAGCTCTGGGCAGGGCAGTGACAGTTTACACAGATCATGTGTCATTAGCTCTGGGGAAGAAAACTCAAACCCAAACTTGTGTCACTTGGAGCTGAATTGTGGGTGGCCATTTCTTGCTATCCAGAATTCAGAGAACTTATGGTGTTACATCTCATAATAATTTCTGTGGGTTAAATTATATATGGATATGGATTTACAGAGGACTCTCAATGCTGATTTTTAATAAAAAATTCTGCTTAACCTGACTTACAAATTCTCCTTGAGTTCCTGCAGGGGAATCTCAATAGATCAGGACCCTACCTTTTAACTCCTCCTTTTTTATGTTCTACTTGCCCTTCTCTATGATTTCAGGCCATATGGGCTTGCTACAAAGCAGAACATGGCACAAATACCAGAAGTCTCACAAACAGCTATTGAAATAGCAAAGAGCAAAAATAAACAAAGAAGATGTAGGTTCCAATAAAAACCTTGATAGATACTAGCTAATGTTTGAACTAGCTTTCAATCTGACTTTTTAATGCAGTGTTGTAACACAGCTATGTCACTTTTGGGTTACCAAAAGCAACCTTACTGACTCGACACTGAGGAACATAATCACTATCTAACCATAGCATGAAAGAAAAGCTACAGAGAAAAAAGCACATTGCTGTCCATACTAATATTAAAGTACTAAAGCAAACAACAGCCTTAGTTACCTGCCTTTTGTAGAAAAGGTTCTTCATTTTAAATATGATGCAATCTAAAGCTATATTTTTCTCACTCCAAAAGATACTATTCCAAGATGAAAAAAGCCAGTGTCCTGGTCGTTTACCCAGACAATGTAAAGAAATCTCCAGCTCAAACTGCATGCACAGGATAAACTGACAAACATTTACACAGTGCACTGCTTCCTTTCCCGCTGTTAGCACTTCAGATCTGGGAGTCTGCATCTCCCCATGACAAAACACCTGAAACAGCAACAACTTCAGAATGGATTTCATTTTCACTCACTGTAAATGTGACCAAAATCCAAGTGAGCAGAAACATTTGGGGTCCTAAATAATTTTGAAAGCTATAGAGTTAGAATATAAAGTGTCTGGCTTACAGAACCAGTTTCAGTGAGTGCATTTTAGCTTGGTTTCTCAGAATGAACTAGGAGGCTATGAAAAAGTCATATATTCTCTAAAGATACATGATTTCGACAGGCTGTATGTTTTATAATGCAAGTTCCACAACTCACCTTCAAAGTTCAGTCCAAATTAGTAAATTCTTCTTGTTGTTTTTATGGGGGAGTATGACAACACTCAGTAATTCACTTCCTTCCTTTTCAGCTAACGACATTATGTCCCATCTCCTGATTTTCGAAGCCTCTTCTTGTAAAAGTTACATTTCTTGTGGAGTCAACCCTTGTTTAACTAAGATTTGCTGCTTACATACATGAGTCTTTCTCATTCAGATCCAACACTTTCACACTGAATTTTCTCAGAAGGAAACAGAATTTCTTTATCTGGAACCCAGGCCAGTGAGGGCTACATGCAGTCAAATCATAACAAATTACACATTTACTATACGGATAAGAGGAATTTTTCCCTAAACTTGCTTTTAGCAGGAGAAGCTGCTGCAAATAAATAGATTTTAAATCAAAATATTACTATAGGAAAGCTATCTGCAGATGTCAGTGGGATTTAGATTAACTTCAAATAAGCTTGTTCTAAAGTATTTAAGCAAATAGAACATGACACAGATTGTTAATTAAAAAGATTTTTTATTTGTATTTTAAAATAATAAATAGAAGAGATAATTCAAAGGAGTATACCTTTTTCACAGAATCTATACATCTCCATGTAGGACTTTATTTATTGGGATTTCAACAGAAATTTCTTATTTAATCTGAATATCCTTTGGATGGAATTCTGTTGGGGGTTGAATTGATCCTTTTTCTTTCTGTGGAATTTCCCCAATTGTTATGCTAAGTAGTTGTGGCTACACCTTAGAAACTATAAAGTTCTCTCGCAGGGAGGGTGGGTGGAGGAGGGGGGGGAGACCGGAAAAGGAAAGAGGGGAGAGGGGTCTGGAGCAGGCTCTCTCTGGCTCTCACTTGGCTCGTGGAGTGGTAGGAGGACGGCCCGTGCTCCGAGCTAGCATCTCCCCTGCCATCCCAGCATCGAGATCCACGTTCCCTGCCGTCGAACACCACTCTGCTGCTCTCCCACTTCATCCTACTACCTCCGGACACTCTGCCGAGCACCACAACTGACACCGTGAGGAGGGAGTCGCTCCTCCATCCCTCTCACCCCTGGGCCGCTGCCGCCATCACCCAGCCCTCTTCGACTGTGCGGGACCTGCCCTGCCCCCACAGCACCGGTAACTGAGCACAGGGAGAGGGAGCCTGTGGTCAAATAAAGGGACTGGAAGTGAGCTATACTGTTCTGTTTTGTTGTCAATTTTTATAGCTGTTGTTGTTTCTGCTATTTTGCCTTGTTAGATATCAGTAAAGAACTGTTATTCCTATCCCTATATCTTCTGCCTGACAGCCTCTGATTTGAATCTAAAATAATTAAAAGGGAGGGGGTTGCACTCTGCATCTCAGGAAAGGGGTTCTCACCTTTCCTTAGAAAATACCTGTCTTTCAAACCGAGACAAATTCACATAATATGTATATCATAACAAGAAACCAGAAGGTTGTGGGGGCTTTTTGATAGGGGTTCTAGTAAAACACTCATACAACCAAAAGCTTTTTCTCACCAATCCTAATATTTTCACTGTCTTCCAACAATCTGATACATTTTCTGAAATGATTCCACAATTTGATAGACTACTTTCTGTCCTACAGCAGAAAAAAAAAGTAAACAAAGCTATAACCAAACTATTTATTTAAAATTGAAGATTCACATATGCATGAGTTTTTCTCATGATTTAATTACAGGCAGCATAATAGATGTTTTATTACACAAACTTCCTAAAGGGCATCCACAAAATATTTTCTTTTTCCTCTAAATGAGAAAAATTATTATCTCCAACTTTTGAAAAAAAAAAAATTGATGGATATGGAAAAGATTTAAAACAGGTTTTGAAAAAGGCCATAAGGTCATATACACAATGGATTTTGGCTCCGATATGATTACATTGTTTGGAATGCATACTCAAAGACATGTAAATGTACTGTGATTTACAAAATTTCACACTGCAATCATGTGAACAGCATCCTTGATAGTGGGACTTCTAGTGATAAACCACATTAGTGCATTGAATCCTAAAGCAAGGCCTCTAAGTACTGAAAATAAAACATGAGTGAGGTTTTTACTGCAGATACTGTTTTGGTTTGGGTTTTTTTCTGAATTTACTGTAAAAATACATGGAGTTGCACACAAAGACCTACATCAAATCCATGCACCAAAAAGGCTGAAAATAAGAGAATTACCTTATTTTTCGACCTCTTCAAAGACCTAGTAAAGGTTGTTTGCCTTTTGACTCTTGGATAAATGATTATGCAATTCGAGCGTATCCACACATGAGAAGTTTTTAAGAAAACAAAACAACACATTCAAAGCTGAGATAACTTTCTGCTGCTCATCATCTGCTGCAAGAGTAAATGATAGCCAGAATTCTTGATGAAGGGCAAAAAATACTTCTTTTTAAAATTCCTTACTTCTCAGAATTTAAGCATGTATTTTCTGTGTTATTCAATTTTGTGTTGATGTATCGAAAGCATAAAGGTTTTAAATATTTAAATAAGCAAAAGGTGATAAATATTTACTACGACACTGGTGAAATTAATTTTGTGTAGAAGTGCTAGTCTCTCCTTGAAGAAAGAATTCCAAGTGGTCAACAGTTTATCCTGAGTGCACCAAACTGCTCAAAGAATTTCTTTTGCCTCCACAGTCAGCATTTAAAGGGTTCAGCTTACTCCCTCTCTCCACCTCAAATATGTGTTGTTTGCTCCTGATTTTGTGGAAAATTTCAGTTCATAGCCGTTTTTCAGTTTTGTTATGTTCTTCTAAGTACCTGAGAAAAACACACTAGAGAACATTTCAGCAATGCCTCTTATTTAACTACCTATCTTTGATTATATTTCTTTTTATCCAATTACATGCTTTCCCACTTTGCGAAAATATTTATTCACATGCTACATGTTGAATAAAATTCTCCAAGTCAGCTAGGGAATTGTAAAGAGAATCATCTGTGTCTTGACTACTGAGAAACTTCCAAAGGGTATCTAAAGCTTCATTTTTGGATGGTAAAAGCTGTTCAGCTCCCTGAAGTCGATCATCTTCATCCTTATCCTCATCACCAACAAACGTCTCAGCTTTATCTGATGCACTTTCTTTGGCAGACATCCTTTCATTATTTGTGGGCACTTCATAAGTTACCAAGCCATCATCTAGAGCTGCATATTCTTCCAAAGACAAGCCTTCTGGAAACTGTACTCCAGCTGCCTGTGCATGTGAAATCAAAGCAAAATCACTTTCAACCTCATTGTCATTATAATTTGTCTCAGTTTCTAATTTGAAAGTTACTCCATTGTAACTTTTTACAATAGTCTCTGGTGCTACTTCCCTCCAGCACAGGTACAGCATCTCAATTGCATCAAGAAGGGTCAGCATAAACTCTTTATTACTTTCTACACAGTCAACAAATCTCTTAATAAGACAGTGCTGTACTTAAACTTTAGACTTCTGATAATCCTTTCTTTCATAACAATACATGAAGAACAGTCTGGAGGAAAGAACACAGGTTCTTCTGTGTGAGCTGAGAGAGAATCAACAAGAATAACCACTTAGTGCTGCTGTGCTTGAAATCTGTTATGAAGTTTATGCATCCACTGTTCAAAGATTCCTAAAGTCATGCATGCCCTATCATTTGCTTCATAATCCACTGGCAGCGATTTCACATCTTCGAAAGAATATGAATTTTTGCTTTTTCCTATAATGAGCAGTGGAAGTTCCTCAGAGCCAGCCATATTTGTACCCACCACTACAGTGATGCTCTCTTTGCTTTGTTTACCTACAGAACAAGTTTCCCCTTTAAATTTAAATGTGTTATGTGGTAACATCTGATACAACAACTTAATCTCCTGTATATAAAACACATTTTTTGGCTAATAATAATTTAAAAAATAAGGAAGCACATTTTGATACCAAAGAGTTGGAGCACCCACTGCAGGAGCAGCAGCTGCTTCTACAGGCTCAGCTCTGAAACTAAACCATACCTGGACTTGAAACGATCGAGCCAGCCATTGCTGCATATAAAATCACTGTGTCCAAGCTTCTGGGCAAAATCATTCACCTTGAGGTGCAACATAGGGCCATTGACTGGCACATTCAAGCACTGTGCAGTTCTGTACCACTTCATTAATGCCTCCTCCAGGTCATCATAAAAAGCAGTCCTCAGCCTTTTCCTTTTACGATCAACCGTACAGTTTCAAAGGCTTCCAAAACTTTTTCCTTATTCATAATAGAACACAGGGAGTTCCTCTTGATGCCGTACTTGGCTGCAATGTCCGCCTTTTTCTTGCCGCTCTCCACAGCGCTTATGATGTCAATCATCTCCTCGACAGATACGCTTTTTTTCCTCCTCACTGTGGGTTCGGGCAAAGTTTCTGCCACGGCACCGAGCAGCGTCTCCCAGGCGCGCTCATCCGCGCCCACAGTCGAGCAGGCTCCTTCTCTGCCGCGGCCTTCCTTTCCCAGCCGGCGGCCTCATCTCACGGGCACGGCACTTGGCGGAGCTGGAGCAGCCTCCCGGGCGGTGCTGGCGGTGGTTGCCATGGCTGTGACCATAGACATGACGGCCTAGAGAGGCTGCCGCCGTCATCCTCTTTCCGGCCCGGCGCTTCCGGCTCCTACTGCCACCGGAGAAGGAAGAAAATAAAGCTTGAGAGGACCGCCGGCGACGCCCCGCCTGGCTTCCTCCGTCCACCCTTCCCTCCCTCCGTCCTGCCCTCCCGTCCTTCGCAGCACGACGCCCCCGGGGCCCCAGCGGCGCCGCCGGCAGGTGAGGGATGGGCCGGGCCGGGCCGGGCCGGGGCAGCCGCTGGGCCCAGGTTCGGAGAGGGCCGGGCCGCGCCGCGCCTCGCGCTCCGTCCCGTTGGACGTGTCATCCCGCGGGAGCGGCCGCCCTTTCCCAGGCTCCGCGGCGGCACCGGTAGTGCCCAGCGGGTCGGGGTCGGCCTGGCTCTTACGCCCCGCTCCGGGGGTGTTGGGCGGCCGGACAGGGAGGGCAGCCCCCGAGCTCGGGAGCAGGCGGGTTCCACGAGACACAAAGGGAAGCTGTGTGTTGGTGGAGGAAGAAAACTAGATGCTGTGTAAACTTTGTGTCCCTGGAGTTATTCCACACCCTGGAAATTACTGTTTTAAGTGTGCCAATTTGAGTTTTGCTTACTGTTCTTAAAGCATGGAAACGCTTTGGTGTTGTGTGACAAGCAGGTGTTGCATGTGGTAGTGTCTCCAAACTAGAGGCAAGTCTTCCAGTATTTCTTATAGTACCTCTCTAATAGGTTATTTTTAACGTAAACCCCCCTAATAGCCTTTCATCTTGCATAAAAGTCGTTGGAGAGGATCATTCTGGACATCGAGCCCAGGTGTAGTTTCAGTTTCTCGCGTGTGCTTTTTATGCCTGGTGGAAAAGGTAGCAAGGAGTTACCACTTTGCAGTCTGTTACCTAAGAGTTGATTCTCTAGAGAAGATAACAGAAGGGCTTTTTTTGCAGGGTTAGAGAAGGATATTATTTGATCAATGCAACTCCAAAACGTTCTGAATCGTGTGTATGTCTGTATTGTGTGTATATTGTGTGTATTTCTGAATATGTATGTATGTGTGTATGTACACACAGTTAAAATGTCAGGAGTAAGAAACAAAGGAGAGTGTTAGATTGGAAAAACTGGAAGCTGAGGCAGTATCTTGATCAGCTGTTTTTTTCTGATTTGGTAGAAGTTGAAATCATAAAGGGTGCCCATGGCTTAGCTAAACTGGAGATGAGAAGAGCATTAAAGTGTTTGGGGCCAGGTTGATGTAGCATGGAGAGTATGAAAGTCAGCAGCAGCCCTGTTCTCCGGTCTGTCTCCATCATGTCTTCTAACTCCCAAGCATAATTAGATCTTGCAAGTAGAACAGCTGTGGAATTCAAGAGCATTAAGAGGAAACTATGGTGTGATTGCAGCAGGAATACAGTTCGTTACAGTCTTTTTAAAAAAGTGGTTCATCTCTATCTTGACAAGAGTTAGTGAAAGTGTTCTTAGCTAGAAATTGAAATTAAGAAAACACCAATAAAATGGTCGTTTTCCCACCAGCACTGGGATTTTATGCAGTGTTACAAAATTTTATGTTCTTTAGGCAGTTAAGAAATAAGACAACAATAAAAGTGTGCAATAAATTTCATTTTAGACAGACGATATCTTGCTGTTGCCTTATTGGCAATTAATTTAGGAGAAAAGTAAGTGAAGGAACCAGTGCATCTTGCTTAGAAAAGCAGATCTGATTGTTGAGAATCCCATGAGACCATCAGTTATTTACCCAAGTAATGTAAGTATGTGAAGAATATACTTCTTATTCAAAATTAATTTATTGTTGATGACATTTACTTCATATTTTTATGAATAAGCAAATAGGAATTTGGCTTTCTTATGAAAGTACATATGGTTAAATATCACTTATGTCTCCATAAATGTTATTTATGTTTACCATAAATGGTTAAATGTCTCCTTATGTCTCCATCCTAGAGGAAGCTTACTACGTTGTTCATAAGTTCTTGCTTTGTTTTGCTTTTTACTTTGCCAGTTGAAGAAGTGATACATAAATCCCCAGGACTCAAAAATCATGTGGTTTTATTTATGGCGAGCAGAACTTAACATTAGTGAAGCTATAATCCAATATGCATTTAAGGTAGCTTCACCATGGGGGGAATGATTCTTAGTCTGATCTGTGTCTTCTGTTTTATTATGGTGCAGTATTTGTGTGGATTTAAAGATTTAGTATAGTGGGATAAGAGAGAACTCAGAAGGGCAGGAGTGATATCGACAGGGTTTCAGTTCTTGTCAGAATACAGATCAAGAATGTTTTTTCCAAGTAGAATCTCTTTGAGTTGTTCTATTGCAGCAGATGGTAGGAAATATCCTGGCACACAAGTCACCTAATGTGTTCTAAAGTTTGGCTGCTTTAGTGAAGAAACAAACCAAGCCTTGGATAACACAATCCGTGCTGTACTGGGGATTAGCGGCCTCTTATAAAGAACATCCCTATGCTAGCACCTGCAAGAACTGCAGAGATGCAAAAGTCTGCATGCATTTCTGTAGTGGAAGTACATGCTTCATGTATGTAGATGTTGTGATTACCACAATTTCACATAAATGTCTTCACTTAATCTTGGTGGAGGTGTAGAAAAATTTCATTCTTGCATCCAGTATTCGATGTTTACATCCCCATTTATTTGCTGTAGAAGCAGTAGTCAAGAAATTCTGTAGTTAAATTTGAATGTGCAGAACTTTTTATGAAAGCCACATTTAATCTACATTTTTTCGTCTTCTCATGTTTTAAAGTTGATTACTGTGATCCTGCAGAGCTGTGTTGAAATTGTTAGCACTACTTGTAGGAAAAGAACACTACAAAAAACTGTTCATGGAGGGGTGTTGTAACACAAATGGTGAATTCATTTGGGTTTTTAAAAATTAATTATTTGCCTTTATGCTGTGTCTTCTGCATGGACTTGTGAGATGGTTCTTGCCCCTAGGTTCTTAAATCTATCAGAAGTTCTTAAATATATAAAAATTGGTTTTGCCTGCAGCATTTAATAGTTTAGAACAGTGTTACCATGGTACATAGGCTTGTGTGTGATGTACAAATATAACTCCAGGAACACTGATGTGGTAGAACTGAAGAACAGATTGTCTTAATGAAGGCTCTACTACAAGATGAATTTAGCTTTTTGTTATTCTCCTTTTCTATAATGTAATTGTTTTAGCTACTCAGAAATGAGCTGTTAAGCACAGAGGTTGTTGTCAGCCACAAGCAGAGTTTGGACAGGACCATGTGGGCAAACAGCATCTCTGCTGTACATCTTCCATGTTCAAAAGAAATTTGAAGAATAAAGAAAGCTTTATAAGGATGTTAAACATTTCTTAATTACTTCAAAGGGAATTTTATATTGATACTAGAAAAACCCAACTTCATTCAGTGATAGCCCTGAATAAACTGTTTTTCTGGAGAAAATCTCTTATTTTATGTATTTGGTTTTCCAAAATAAAGTAATAGGTTATTCAGTGTAATATGATCTAGATGATGTAGGTGATTCAGTTTCACACCCTTTGTGTCCTTATTTTATTTCCCTTGCTATGTGAGCTACTTACCTTATTAATTATTTACTTTAATTAGGAATTTAATCAGGAATTTGAAATACAATGCAAACGCAAATAGCAATCTCTTTATCATTTTTCTTAACCTGGTATGTGTCTCAACATGTATGAAATGGTGCAAGACTTAATGAACTGAAGTCATGTGTGATTATATGCAATACTGGCAGATTGATTAGTTTTTAATGATTGGATGTCTCTGCCTCTCAAACAGCTGAGTGCATTGTGGTGTCACCTGTAGTTACCATCTATTTGGAATCAAATTTAGATACTTTCCTTACTTAAGCTAAAATTGTGTATGTAATTCATCTTTCATGATCATTATATTCACAGAGTTGATTTCTTTCACATGTGCTCCGTGTTTACAACTTTCTTTGCCTCTGTAGCTGAGATCTTTTTGAGGCTAAAATGAAAGGGATTCTGTTTCTAGTAAACACAACTGATTTATCAGTTATTTATAGTTTAGTGAGTTTCAGTGGCTTAGCATCAGTATAATCTTGCAATGCTTGGATAAATCTCGTGTCTTAACAAAATGGTGATCTTTGCAATGGTAGGATACAATCAGTGTATTGTTGCAAGTGGAAGTATATGTATCAGCTGAAGAACCTTGTTTGACTTCTAGGGTTTTACTTTTTGCAAGCTTAGCTATCCTTGGAGAAAAGTTGCTTTGGTAGTATAAGCTTACATTAGACTATATTCCTGATCTCTCTTAGATTTTTGGAGAGCTAAAGACCTGGTCACCATCAAAAGAAGGAGGTTTCAGTTCGCTCTAGCAGAACTTGTCAAAGAAATGTTTTCTAAGAGCCTACTTAGGTTTCTGTGAGGTGCAACATTCAGCTCCTTTCAATTTGATTAATGCATGCCAAACCTGTTTGGTTTTCAGGTATGTCAGAACACAGCAGTGAATCCACAACACTTGATGAGTCTCATCCATCTGCAGAAGAGGTCCAGTCTGGCTCTGAGGTGATTGGGTGATAGTTATATTAGTGTAAAATCAACCAATCCTAATAAGTTTCAGATTCAAAAATGTTCTGCTGTACATAGCACAGTGCTCTTAGTGTGGGGATGTGAGTTCATGCACAGCATGAATGGGTGGGGTTGGTTTTGAGACACTATTAAGAACAGTCCAATTAATTCAAAGCAAAGGATTACTTCAGCCAGTAGCCTGTTGCTATGCTGCAGTATTTGTTTTGTAAGTTGAATAGATTTAGGCATGGTAGAATCTGAAATGTGTGAGTATTGCAGGAAGAAAGGGTTGGTATTTAAAAGGCATTAATCTTTGGGTAACCTCACTATAACAATGTATTCAATCTACTGCTGAAGGAGTGAATCTTTTTTTCCCTGAGACTAAATACAGCCTGAACCTTTTCTGTGGAGAAGTCTGTGGCATATTTGAATTATGAACAGATTCCTGAGGTTCCCAATATTATTTAGCTAATCAGGTGTATTTGGGATGCTCTTTCAGAAAGATAGAGTCAACATTTTCCTGACTGTTCTAGAGTAAAAACGAAAAAACATGATGCTGACTTTGTCACTATTGGAGCTTCAGTGACAGTGGATTGTTTTTAAACTTTCAGTAAAAACAGAATAGTGATTCTGTTTAGCATATTTCCAATATTTCTGATATTTGTAAACACAGATGTACAAAGAAAATACCGATTCTTACTGAACGATGATTCTATTTTTAAAAAATAAAATGTGCATCTGAAATGCAATGTTTTCCTCTAGTGCTTATGTCATTCATACCTAATAATCAATAAAAATTTAGGATCTTATTTAGATTTACTTTAGGTTGTTTATACATATGATAAATTTTCTTCTGAGGAATCAATTTCTTTGTATGCTAAGTTTAAGTCAGCTGTGGGCTACACTTGCCAAAGAGACACTTGATTCAGCAATCATACTTCCTATTTCAACAGAAATGCTGCTGTGGTTTGGTGGTTTAGTTTTCTCTTAGTTTTAGTTTTCTCTTCACACATGGTAGTGTGAAGTTACAGGAACAGACGTCCAGAGGTAAGGAGAAATGGCTGCTGGATTTGGCAGTAGTCTACAGTCAGAGTAGTATTTTGAGATACTGCACTGCTGAAGTAAGCTGTGGGCAGTCCTTCATTCTCAGTAGTTTCTTTACTGCATTACTACCTGCTCTGTTTCATAGCTGCAAGTGTTGAAGGTGTGCCTGCTTTGGAGAATTGATGGGAGTGGAAAAATTACCCATCCTCTTTTTGAGC